AAAAGAAAGAATTACAAAAAAAGAAGAAAAAAAAGAAAAAAAGAATTAAAAAAAAAACGACTCGCATCATTTATGACAAACGGGGAGGGTAAACAAAAAGTAGATACCTTGAGACATATGGATGCATATATTCACGGGATAAATGATCATAGGTTAGAGCAGTGGATTTTATTGCTAATTTAACTATGCATTTTTTGTTCACTAGCTATTGGTATTTAAGTTGCGGTTTTTGTAAAAAATATTTAATTTTTCATGTATTGCTTAGAAGAAGGCCGATTATGAGCAAAGGGAGCAATCTAATTGTTTAAATTTAATGGTCATAAAGTTTTGCATATATAAGAGTATTAGAAGTTTTATTTCTGAATGATATGAAGCAAAATATTTTTTAAAAACAATACAAAAACAATTTGTTTATTTTAATAAAACATTAATCAATACCTTAATGATGAGACTTTTGGATAAGTCATTTGATCGTTTTAAGAGTATACGCGAGCATATTATGTAAATGAGAGAAACTATTATTCAATTAAAGTTCTTAAAGATGAATTTTTGAGTCATTTTTGGCATTATATAATGGTAATGATCGTTATTGTAGTTATCGGACAAATATAATCCAAACAACGACTATTATGTTTTTTTTTTAAATACTTTTGATTCCACATTTTAAAAGAAATTTATTAATAATTTTTTATAAATTCACAATATTGATTTCCGTAATCATTATTTTACCATTGAAATAAGTTGTGATTCGTGACGCAATCATAACTTTTTTATAACTATATCCGCAATTTAATTATGATTCTAGTGAAAAAAAATAATTCATTTTATTTTATTTCCATAGTCAACATCCATGGTTTTTTAAAGAAAAAACTATCATAGGCCTATGGAACTTTTTATTGAACACCAACCACAACATGATGGCTTTTAGTGTTATTTTATTCTAAAGAGCAAATGATAAACGAGCAAGTGCATGACTCAATTCTCCTTTCCTAACCACTTATTGTGAGGACTCGGGGGGATGATACCGCAAATCACCCTACGAGTGGGCAAAGCATTCTTCCTTCTTAGGGTATGTGCATCTATCCGGACATCTATCATTGCATGACTTGAAATCCGCCTTGACTTCACTCGATGTGGCTATCAACATTACTACCACCAGCATCAAAATGCTAACCTTCGACCTAATACCTTTTGGCTCCATTCTTGAAATTCTCACTACAATAATATTCCTATTATTCCTTGAAATATACTTCCTCTAATAAGAGGTCAGTCTTTATATACAATAGCTCGAAGGGTTAAAAATAGAAAATAATCACAATTTCAATGTTTTGGATTGGTTATGATTTCATTTCCTTATATACAAATCCACAAGATAATATTTCCTTTGTTGTAAACATATTCTCATGTTTGATTTTTTACATATTAAAAAAATTATTAATTATTATGTTATATCATTTTTTTTGTTCATAATTTTTCAAAATACCCTCATTGTAGTTGTAAATATGTTACAATATAGACTTACATGAAAGGTATTAAAGGAAAATACATACATAATACTCTCTATTTTCCAAAATGTTTCTTTCTTTTTTCTTTTTTTTCACTTTTCATCTAGTTTTAAGAAAGACATTAATTGTTATGATACATCAGTTTTTCTTCCTTGTACTTTTCGAAAATACACCATAATGCCAAATTTGAATTTCAAATTTTTTTAAAAAGATATAAAGTTCATTAAGCCCACCAAATTAATATTTTGGTCCCTTCAAAATTTAAGTTGGAAAATTTTAAAAATATTTAAAGATCATTAAGAAATCATAATTTTTTCATAAAATTTTAAACCAAAAAATTAGTCTCAAAATCAAGGCACCAAATCAAAATTTTCTCGTCCCTCCCAAAATTAAATTAAAAATTTTCTAGAAAGATCTAGAGAAGCCTTCCTAAATTTCTCGTGAAACTTTAAGCCAAATAATTAGTCACAAAGTCAAGGCTCCAAATCAAGATTTTCATCTCTCTCAAATTTAAGTTGAAAAATTTTTAGAAAAAATTAGATATCATTAAGCCTTCCTAAATTTCTTATGAAATGTTAAGCCAAAAAATAAGTCCCAAAATCAAAGTATCAAATCAAGATTTTCATCCCTCTCAAATTTAAGTTGATTTTTTTTCTAAACAATCTAGAGATCATTAAGGAATCCTAAATTCTCATAAAATTTTAATTAAAAAAATTAGTTCCAAAATTAAGGAACCAAAAAAAATTATATGTATGAAAAGAAAGTGCAAAGAATATTGATTTTCTAGTTAATAAAAAAAAAACAAGAAATAGAAGAGAGAATTGATTAGAAAGAATTGATCATTAGGGGTTTATTTTTAAGAAAGTACAAGATTTAAAATTTAGACTAACTACACAAGTATTTTGAGACAAATATAAATAAAATTGAGAAAATCCTCTCTAATTCAAATAGAGAAAGTATTATTTTGAGTACTAAAACAAAAACCTTTTAGAACAAATAAAACTAGAAACTAAAAGTAAACAAAGAGAGTGACAAATTGAGAAAACCAAAATAAATACTTTAGCGATACAATTTTTTTAAAAAAGGTTAAAACTAAAAATGCAAGTGGAAATATGGATGTAGATTTTATAGCTAATTTAGCTATACATTTTTGTTTGCCATTAGTATTTAAGTTGAGTTTTCACATGAAGAATTGAAGAAGTGCTATTGAGTGATATTATCCTCTACAAATTTTGTGCTTGTTGTTTAAAGAAAATCTAAAAGATTTGGGGTAAATTTAAAGAAACCTAAGAGATTTAGGGTAAATGAATAGTAAATCTTTTTTCCTTTATTGTTTATATTGGCGAGTTTTGGTAATTTTTAACAATACTAGTATTTTTGTGGTTTTTTATATTTTTTGGACATTTATTTCCAAAATTTACACTTTATTGCATTTTGATCCATCATTTTTACAAAAAAAATATATTTTTGGTCTTTTTTTTAAAGATATTTTGACACCTCATATTTTTAGCTTATTTCAGTTTGGTCCCTTATTATTTCAAAACATATTTTTGGCCCTTCGTGTTTTTAGATTTTAGAATATATATATATATATATATATATATATATATATATATATATATATATATATATATATATATATATATATATATATCAGATTATATTATTCTTATTTTTTAAAATTGATCTCTTTAATATGTCATTTCTTATAAAAATTCTCATCAAATTATTTTTTTATATAATTTTATTTTTTAATAAATATGATTTATTTTTCCATATATATGGATTTTTGAATATATGTTTTTAAATAAAAAATTACTTAATTAATGAAATTCATTTTTTTTTTGGCTTATTCTTGATACAATAAAAAAATGGGATAGTTTTTTTGATATTTTTATTGAACTCTATTAACTTTAATATATTTCTTATAATTTGAGTTTTTTTAAAAAATATTTTTCAATTTATATTGCACACTCTAGCCTATTGAGTGTATTCATGATGCATAAAAAAAATATTGAGATCGTTAGTTTTTTTTAAAATTAATTATGCATTTATGCATATAACTCCTACTGTTTTCTATTAATTATATTAATATTCTAAAATTAATTTATTTAAAAAATAATTAAAATAATTTTTTAGAAGAACCACCTAATAATTTAAATACATCTTTTTGTACTAATATTATTTTAACTTTTATGTGTGTGTGTGTGTGCACACACACACACACATATATACATCAACTATACATATATAATTTTAAAAAATAAAAAAGATTCGTTGGTTAATTTTTATACAAGTTTTTATAATAATTGTAGCTTTATTTCTTCAATGCAGTCTTAAGATATATATATATATATATATATATATCTTAAGATCGCATATATAATTTTAATAAATTAAAAAAGATTCATTGGTTAATTTTTATACAAGTTTTTATATTAATTGTTGCTTTATTTCTTCGATGCAATCTTAAGAAAAAAATATTAAGATGTTTTTTTTAAAAAATTATACTCAGATTATTAAATATTTTTATTTAAGAATGAATGCATAACAAAAAAATTATTTTTTTTAATCACAAAATCTATGAAAACATAAAAAAGAATGAATATAATATAAAATTTGATTAAAGATTAAGACATTATATGAAATTTTATCATTTATTTAGAATTTAATATATTTTAATAAACCGTCGAGTATAGTGCATGCTATTAAACTGAAATAAACATATTTGTTCACCTAATTGAGTAGCACATAAAACCAACTAATAAAGAAACTAAAACAACAAAAGAGTTTCTTGTACTAAGCTCCTATTATGGCCTTTTGTGCCTTTAAAACGGCATCTTTTAAAATTAAACGACAATTTTCTATAAAAAAAAATTAGGTGGTTTTAAGAAATTATTTGCTTTTTAATCCTTAAAATTCTGAGTTTATACAAAATAACCTCTTAACTTCATTTGTATTACAACTAAGCCCCTAAAGTAGAGACAAGAGAGAGAAGGGATTCGGTGTTCTGGATTTTAAGGGTAGATTAGAGGGTGTTTTGAGGGTTAAAATGGATTTCTACAAGCTTCTAGGGTATTGTTAGATGAAAATGATGTAAGGTATTCGGTGTTCTAGATTTTAAGGGTAGATTAGAATTACATACTTTATTTGTTCAAAACAATTTGCCATATTTAACTTTTTACATATATTAAGAAAGTTGTTAATTGTTGTATCATATCAACTTTTATTATTAACTAAGTTTTAAAGTACTTTCTTTTTTAGTTGTACGTTTATTACAAAATAGATTTAAGATAAGGATATTAAATGGAAATACATATTTAATCATTTTGAAATGATCATTTTTATTTTATTTCCGGTTTAACTAACAATATTTAATTTATAATAAAGAGAGGGATAAAAAAGAAGAAAAAAATAAAAAAAGAATTAAAAAAAAATGACCTGCATCATTTATGACAAACAGGGAGGGTAAACAAAAAAGTAGATACCTTGAAGGCAGAATCTCTTGGAAAGCATAATATATTAATTCAAATCAAAAACTTACCATGGAGACGTATGGATGCATATATTCACAGGATGAATGATCATAGGTTAGCAGCGGATTTTATTGCTACTTTAACTATGCATTTTTGTTCACCATTGGTATTTAAGTTGTAGTTTTAGTAAAAAATATTTCGTAATGTGATATGTCATGTAATGCTCAGAAGAAGACCAAATATGAACCAAGGGAGCAATCTAATTATTTAAATTTAATGCTCATAAAGTTTCGTATAAATAAGAATATAAAACATTTTGTTCCCAAATGGTCTAAAGCAAAACATTTTCTGAAAACCATAGAAAAACAATTTATTCATTTTAATAAGACATAGTCAACACCTTGATGAATAGACTTTCAGATAAGTCATTTGCCCGTTTTAAGAGTATACATGAGCATATTATGAAAATGGGAGACACTATTACTCAATTAAAGTTTTTAGAGTTGAATTTTCGAGTCATTTTTGGCATTATATAACAGTAAAAACTGTTATTATGGTTATTAAACGAATATGATTCAAATAACAATTGTTATAATATTGTTGAAAAAAATACTTTTAATTTTTTGTTTTAAAATAAATTTATTAATAATTTTTAATGTATTTACGATATCGATTGTTATAATCATTATTTTATTATTGCGATAAGTCACTGCATATAATCTCAATCATAGCTATTTTTGTAACTGTATCTATAGTTTAAAACCATGATCCTGGTACAACAACAAAAAGAAAGGAACTTATTTTATTTAATTTGCATAGTCAACATCCATGCATGGCTTTTGAAAGAAAAAAAAATATCATGGGCCTATGGAACTTTTTATTGAAAACTAACCACAACGTGATGGCTCTTGATTCCTTGTTTTATACGAACTTTTTTTTTTAATATATCTACGATATTGATTATTGTAATCATTATTTTACTATTGTGATAAATTACAACTTGTAATCCCAATCATAATTGTTTTTTATAACTGTATTTGTAATTTAAAATCATGATCCTGGTATAAAAACGAAAAAGAAAGGAACTCAATTTATTTAATTTGCATAGTCAACATCCATGCATGGTTTCAAAAAGAAAAAATTATCATGGGCCTAAGGAACTTTTGATCGATCACTAAGCACAACAGGATGGCTTTTAGTGCATAAACAAGGATCCTATTTTATTCTAAAGAGCAAATGATAAACAAAAGGTGCATGACTCAATTCTCCTTTCCTAGCCACTTATTGGGAGGACCTGGGGGGATAATACCGCAAATCACCCTGCAGTGGGCGAAGCATTCTTCCTTCTTAGGGTATGTGCATGTGTCCAGGCATTTGTCATTGCATGTCTTGAAATCTGCCTTGACTTCACCTGACGTGGCTATCAACATTACTACCACAAACATCAAAATGCTAACCTTAGACCTAACACCTTTTGCTTCCATTCTTGAAATTCTAACTACAATAATATTGTTATTATTCCTTGAAATATACTTCCTCTAATAAGAGGTCAGTCTTTATATACAATAGCTCGAAGGGTTAAAAACAGAAAATAATCACAATTTTAATATTTTGGATTGGTTATGATTTCATTCCCTTACATATAAATCCAAAAGATAGTATTTCCTTTTTTGTAAACATATTGTCATGTTTGATTTTTTACACATTAAAAAAATTATTAATTACTATGTTATATAATTTTTTTTTTTGTTCATAATTTTTCAAAATACCCTCATTGTAGTTGTAAATATGTTACAATATAGACTTACAAGAAAGGTATTAAAGGAAAATACATACATAATACTCTCTATGTTCCAAAATGTTTCTTTCTTTTTTTACTTTACTTTTCATCTAGTTTTAAGAAAGACATTAATTGTTATGATACATCAGTTTATTTCCTATACTTTTCGAAATACACTTTAATGCCAAATTTGAATTTCAAAACTTTTTAAAAAGATATAAAGATCATTAAGCCCTTTTAAAATCAAGATGCCAAATTAATATTTTCATCCCTTCAAAATTTAATTTAGAAAATTTTTAAAAATATTTAAAAATCATTAAGAAATCGTAATTTTTTCATAAACTTTTAAACCAAAAAAATTAGTCTCAAAATCAAGGCGCCAAATCAAAATTTTCCGTCCCTCTCAAAATTAAATTAGACATTTTCTAGAAAGATCTAGAGAAGCCTTCCTAAATTTCTCATGAAATTTTAAGCCAAATAATTAGTCACAAAGTCAAGGTTCCAAATCAAGATTTTCATCTCTCAAATTTAAGTTGGAAATTTTTTTAAAAAAATTAGATATTATTAAGCCTTCCTAAATATCTTATGAAATGTTAAGCTAAAAATTAGTCCCAAAATCAAAGCGTCAAATCAAGATTTTCATCCCTCTCAAATTTAAGTTGATTTTTTTTTTTTTCAAAACGATCTAGAGAACATTAAGGAATCCTAAATTCTCATAAAATTTTAATTCAAAAAATTAGTTACAAAATTAAGGCACCCAAAAAGAAATTATATGCATAAAAAGAAAGTGCAAAGAATATTGATTTTCTAGTTAATAAAAAACAAGAAATAGAAGAGAGAATTGATTAGAAAGAATTGATCATTAAGGGTATATTTTTAGGAAAGTAAAGTCTTTAAAATTTTTACTAGCTACACAAGTATATATTTTGAGACAAATAAAAATAAAAATGAGAACAATCTCTCTAAAATGGAGAAAGTGTTATTTTGAGTACTAAAACAATCCTTTTGGAACAAATAAAAATAGAAAGTAAAGATAATTTTTGGAAAAGTAAACTAAGAAAGTAAACAAATTGAGAAATCAAAAATAAATACTTTAGCTATACGTTTTTGTTTTAAAATGTTAAAACTAAAAAGCAAATGGAAATATAGATTTAGACTTTATAGCTACTTTGGCTATACATTTTTGTTTGCCATTAGTATTTAAGTTGAAGTTTGCTATTGTGTGATATTATCATCTACAAATTTTGTGCTCATTATTTAAAAAAAAATCTAAAAGATTTGGGGTAAATTTAAAGAAGCCTAAGAGATTTGGGGCAAATAAATAGTAAATCACTATTCATTTATTGTTTATGGTGGTAGTTTGGGTAATTTTTAACCATGGTATTTTTGTGATTTTTTTTTATAGTTTGTGGACATTTATTTCCAAAATTTACACTTTATTCCATTTTGATCCTTTATTTTTACATAAAGATATCTTTGGTCCATGTTTTAAAAATATTTTGACACCTCATATTTTTACCTTATTTCATTTTGGTCGCTTACTATTTCAAAATATATTTTTGGCCCTTCGTGTTCTTAGAATATATATATATCAGATTATATTATTCTTGTTGTTTAAAATTGATCTCTTTACTTTGTCATTTGTTATAAAGATTCTCATCAAATTATTTTTTTATTTTGAGAAAGTAAACAAATTGAGAAATAAAAAATAAATACTTTAGCTATACATTTTTGTTTTAAAATGTTAAAACTAAAAAGCAAATGGAAATATAGATGTAGACTTTATAGCTACTTTGGCTATACATTTTTGTTTGCCATTAGTATTTAAGTTGAAGTTTGCTATTGTGTGATATTATCATATACAAATTTTGTGCTCATTATTTAAAAAAAAAATCTAAAAGATTTGGGGTAAATTTAAAGACGCCTAAGAGATTTGGGGCAAATAAATAGTAAATCACTATTTATTTATTGTTTATGGTGGTAGTTTGGGTAATTTTTAACCATGGTATTTTTGTGATTTTTTTTATAGTTTGTGGACATTTATTTCCAAAATTTACACTTTATTCCATTTTGATCCTTTATTTTTACATAAAGATATCTTTGGTCCATGTTTTAAAAATATTTTGACACCTCATATTTTTACCTTATTTCATTTTGGTCGCTTACTATTTCAAAATATATTTTTGGCCCTTCGTGTTCTTAGAATATAAATATATCGGATTATATTATTCTTGTTGTTTAAAATTGATCTCTTTACTTTGTCATTTGTTATAAAGATTCTCATCAAATTATTTTTTTATTTTGAGAAAGTAAACAAATTGAGAAATAAAAAATAAATACTTTAGCTATATGTTTTTGTTTTAAAATGTTAAAACTAAAAAGCAAATGGAAATATAGATGTAGACTTTATAGCTACTTTGGCTATACATTTTTGTTTGCCATTATTATTTAAGTTGAAGTTTGCTATTGTGTGATATTATCATCTACAAATTTTGTGCATTTTAATCCTTAAAAATTCTGATTTTATACAAAATAATCTCTTAACTTCATTTGTATTACAACTAAGTCCCTAAAGTAGAGACAAGAGAGAGAAGGGATTCGGTGTTCTGGATTTGAAGGGTAGATTAAAGGGTGTTTTAAGGTTTCAAATGGTATCATAGTTTCAAAGAAGCCTAACGAGTCAGCAAAAATCCTAAAGTCCAAGTTATTTGACAGATCCCAAAAAATGGACGACAAATTAAGAGTGTTAGAGCACATATCTCATATTAAGTAGTTAAACAAAAAATAATTAATATATAAAGTTAAGAATAAGTCACTCATTATATGACTTAAATTTTTTAGATGGAACCTAATTTTAACTATCTAAACATAAAGGTATCAAGAAAATATTTTTATTCTCACTTAATTTAAAATACTGATAGATTCTATGAAGACCTTTCTTGTTTCTTAGAGTTCAATTGTACGCAGTTGAATCTACTAACAGTTGTGGTCTCAAGAGAATTCCACCAAGAAAAAAAAACCATTTGGTCAAATAAAATTCAAATAACGATCGTTATATATATATATATATATTAAATAAATTTATTAATAATTATTAATATATTTATAATTAATTATTATTTTATTATTACGCTGAGTCGTAACTCGTAATATCAATTGTGACTATTTTTACAACTATATATGCGATTTAAACTTACGATCCTGGTGCAACAACGAAGAGAAAGGAGCTTGTTATATTTTATTTCCATGGCCAACATCCATGGTTTTACGTGGTTATTTTAACAAGTGCGCTGGGCTGTTGTGCAACCTAAAAAACATCATCATTATTGTTATTTGGTGAATACGGTGACCATTATACTATTATTAAAAACTATGCTTTTTAATTCATTGTAAAATAAATTTATTAACATGTGAATTACATTGATCGTAATCATTATTTTACTACGATCCATAATTATTATCAACACCTTTATTATTATTGAAAATTAAGTTTTTGGTTGGGAGAAAGGAACCCGTTTTATTTAATTTACATAGTCAACATCCATAGATTTTGAAAAGCATCACTTAATTCTCCTTTCCTGACCACTTATTCGCAGGACCCGGGGGGATCCTACTGCAAATCAGCCCGCAAAAGGCGAAGCATCCTTCTGTGCTAGAGTGGCATGTTTTCAGGCAATTTTGTAAGCATGTCTTGTGATCTTCTGCCTCGACTTGACCTGATGTTACCATTAGTATCACTACCACCAGAATCAGAATGCTAACCATCGACCTAACACCTTTTGCCTCCATTATTGAAATTCTCACTTGCAATTATAGTTAATATTTTTAAGTATACTTCCTCTAATCAGAGGTGGTCAGCCTTTATATAATAGCTCAAGGGTTAAAAATTATAAATAATGTCATAATTTTAAAATTTTTGATTGGCTATTATTTCCTTTCCTTTTATATATGATGGTTCATTGATTCATAAAATCTATAAAAATCCAAAAGCCATTACTTCTTTTATTATAAAAAATTGTCATATTTAACTTTTCACACTTATTCAGAGTAATTATTAAAATAAAATAAAAATTGAACCTATCTTTAAATATTTTTATCATTTTTTTATAAGTTCATATGTGATTTCTCTCTCTCTCTCTCTCTCGCTTTTATTGTCCATCTCTCTTCAAAGTGGATATATAGAGTAATTATTGTTAGTTACTTCTTATTATTTTAAAATTTCTCATTTTAGAACAACCAAAACTAGAAAGTAAGACAATCTTTTGACACTCGTTAGAGCACATATCCCATATTTAATAGTTAAATCAAATATGATTAATATATAAAGTTGAGAATAAATCATCCACCGGAAGGTTTAAGTTTTTTGGATAGAACCTAATTTCAACTATGTAATTATCTATGGTATTAGAGTCCTTAGAAGACTTAACGATCAAGTAAAGATCCCGAAGCTCAAGCCAATTGATAGGTCCCAAAAGATGGACGTATCCCACATTGAATAATTAAATCAAAAATCACTTGATAGGTCTCAAAAGATGGACGTATCCCACATTAAATAATTAAATAAAAAATAATTAATATATAAAGTTGCCACTTGACAAATCCCAAAAGATGGACTCCAAGTGAGGGAGAGTGTTAAAACAGGTATTCCACATTGAATAGTTAAATTAAAGATAATTAATATATAGAGTTGAGAATGTGCTATTTACCATAAGACTTAAGACTTTTGGATGAAACTTGATTTCAACTATCTAAATCTATAAACATCAAGAAAATATTTTATTTTCTCACTTAATTTAAAATACAATTAGATCTTTGTATTAGATCCTACAAAGACTTTTCTCGATGTTTAGACTTTAATTGTACATAGTTGAATCTATTAACAGCTGTGGTCTTAAGAGAATTCCACCAAGAAGCAAACCATTTGATTGAATAACAATTCAAATAATGATTGTTATATTATTGTTAAAAAAATACATATTTTTTTGATTTTTTAAAAAATAAATTTACTAATAACTACTAATATATTCACAATATGTGTTCAAAATATTAAGATGTTTTTTATAATTTTCTATTAAATTTTTATTTACATTATTATATGTTTTTATTTAAGAATAAATACATAACGAAAAATGAATTTTTTTAATAATAAAATTTATGAAAAAAAAAACATAAAGAAAAATAAATGAAATACAAAATTTGATTAAGATTTTGAAATTAGATGAAATTTTATCATTTTTTTTAATTTAATATATTTTAGTAAATCAACAATATAATGCGAGCTATTAAATTAAAATAAGTATATTTAATTTGGTCCACTATGTAATATGAGAAACCGACTTGTAAAGAAACTAAAGCGAGCATAAAAGTATCTTGTAACTAAGCTCCTATTATGGTCTTTTGTGCCTTTAATTGGTGTCAATTTTTTAAATTAAATAACACTTTTCCAAAAAAAAAAAAAACAATATTTTTTAGAAATTATTTGCATTTTAATCCTTAGAATTCTGATTTTATACAAAATAATTTCTTAATTTTATTTGTATTACAACTAAGTCCCTAAAAGTAGAGACAAGAGAGAGGAGGGATCCAATATTCTGGATTTTTAAGGTAGATTAGTCGGTGTTTTGAGGTTTAATTTCTACAAGCTTTTAGACATTTTTACATGAAAATGGTGTAAAGTATGGTGCGAGGGCAAAAAACAAGCAGACCCATGAGTTTTTTATGATAATTTTCATATTCTAGTTAGCAATTTTCAAATCTTGATAAAATAATAATAATAATAATAATCGAGTTGAACAACACATTGTTTGTTATTTCAAGTAATGCATTTGTCTTCGCTTGTCAAATTTGATCTCGAAATAGAGTAAGTCAACGCTCCAATTTGTGACTCGAGAACTTCACGATGAAATAACATGGTGTTCGATTTCGCCTAGCAAGCTACTAAGATTTTTCGTGGATACTCAATTAAAAGAAAAAGATGAAATAAAAAGAATATTACTAATCGAAAGAAATAATACTTGAGAGACGAGAGAGAATTTCGTTAATTGAAAGAAACAAACTCACTAAAAAAGTACAAGTATCATAAATCAAAAGATATGACACTTACAAGCATTTGTCATCGAGATACTCGAAACCATTTTATCACAATTAGGGATGGATCAACACCATTTATGCTACGATAGCTAAACTACTAAAAGCGATAAATGTTATCTATCGAAAAGAGTATTGAAAGCAATAAAGATTATCAAACTACTTGCAAGAATGTATAAGCTAATTGGTTCGGGGTAAACTAGAAAACTTGAATAAGTTTTTGTTGAAAAATTCTTGTATGTTGATTGTGATCCTTTTCTTCAATCAGTTTCTCTTCTTTACATTGCTTTTGGCACAATCGATAACTACGTTAGATTTACAATAAGGATATTAAATGGAAATACATACTTAATCATTTTGAAATCAGAAATGTTATTTTATTTTAGGTGTAATTAACTATATTTAATTTATAATAAATAGAAAGACACAAAGAGAAGAAGAAGAAAAATAGAAAAGAAAGAATTACACAAAAAGAAGAAGGAATAGAAAATAAAGAATTTAAAAAAAAAAGGACTTGCATCATTTATGACAATAAGGGAGGATAAACAAAAAGTAGATACCTTGAGACACATGGATGCATATATTCACGGGATAAATGATCATAGGTTTGAGCGACGGGTTTTATAGCTACTTTAACCATACATTTTTGTTCGCTATTGATATTTAAGTTGCAGCTTTTGTAAAAAAAATATTTCTTAATGTGATATGTCATGTAATTCTCGAAGAAGACTGATTATGAATTAAGGGAGCCATCTAATGGCTTAAATTTAATGTTCATAACGTTTTGTATAAATAAGAGTATTATAAGTTTTATTCTCGATTGGTCTAAAACGAAAGATTTCTTGAATACCATAAAAAAAAAAACAATTTGTCCATTTTAATAAGACATTAGACAATACTTTAATGAAAAGACTTTTAGATAAGTCATTTAATTATTCTAAGAACATGTGAGAGCATATTATGTAAATGAGAGACACTATTACTCAATTAAAGTTCTTAAAGATTAATTTTCAAGTTACTTTTTGGTATTATATAATGGTAATGACTTGTTATTATGGTTGTTGGACAAATAACGATAATTATATTATTGTTTTAAAAAAGTACTTTTGATTCCTTATTTTAAAATAAATTTATTAACAACTTTTAATATATTTATGATATCAATTGTTGTAATTGTTATTTTATTACTGTGATGAGTTGTGACTCGTGATTGTAATCGCAATTGTTTTTACAACTATATAAGTGATTTAAAAATATGATTCGGGTACAACAACGAAGAGAAAGGAACTCCTTTTATTTAATTTGTATAGTCAACATCCATGTTTGGTTTCGTAAAGAAAAATTATCACGAGCCTAAGGAACTTTTTATTGAATACTAACCACAACATGATGGCTTTTAGTGCATAAATAAGGATCCTATTTTATTCTAAAAAGCAAATGATAAACCACAAGTGCATGACTTAATTCCGCTTTCCTAACCACTTATTGGAAGGACTCGGGGGATCATACCGCAAATCACCCCGCAGTGGGCGAAGCATTCTTCCTTCTTAGGGTATGTGCATCCGTCCGGACATCCGTCATTGCATGTCTTGAAATTTGCTCGGACTTGACTCGATGTGGCTATCAACATTACTACCACCAACATCAAAATGCTAACCTTCGACCTAACACCTTTTGCCTCCATTCTTGAAGTTCTCACTAAAATAATATTGTTATTATTCCTTTGAAATATAATTCCTCTAATAAGAGTCGAGTCTTTATATATAATAGCTCGAAGGTTAAAAACGGAAAATAATAACAATTTCAATATTTTGGATTGGTTATGATTTCATTCCCTTATATACAAATCCAAAAGATAATATTTCCTTTCTCGTAAACATATTGTCATGTTTGATTTACACATTAAAAAAAAATTATTAATTTTTATGCTATATCATTTCTTTTTATTCATAATTTTTCAAACTACCCTATTTTTAGCCATAGATCTGTTACAAGATAGGCTTAAATGAAAGGTATTACAGGAAAATACATGCATAATTCTCTCTATGTTTCAAAATGTTCTTTTTTTATTTTTTACTTTTCATCCAAGTTTTAAAAAAGACATTAACTATTATGATACATTAGTTTTTTTTTTTTTTTTATCTATACTTTTTTGCAAATACACTTCAATGCCAAATTTGAGTTTCAAAATTTTTTAAAACGATACAAAGATCATTAAGCCCTTTTAAAATCAAGACGACAAATTAATATTTTTGTTCCTTCAAAATTTAAGTTGGAAATTTTTTTAAAAAATTTAAAGATTATTAAGAAATCCTAATTTTAAAAAATTGTCATATTTAACTTTTCACACTTATTAAGAAAGTCATTAGTTGTTAATCTATCTCATTTTTTTTTTATAGTTTTTACAAAATATTTTTATTTTAGTTGTACGGCTCTTATAAGATACGAACTTATGATAGGCATATTAAATAAAAATGCATGCTTAATATTTTGAATAAGACTAAGACATCATTTTGAAACGTGAAATTTATCTTACTCTAAGAGTAACTAATAAAACTTACTCTATAAGAGAAGGATAAACAGAAAGAGGAGATGAAAATAGAAGAGAGAAAATTAAAATAAAAATTTACCCTACTTGGATATATTTTTATCATTTTTTTAGAGTACGGATGTGATTTTCTCTCTCTTTTTTATGCGTTTCTCTCCTAAAAGTGAATCCATAGAGTAATTATTGTTAGTTACTCCTTATTATTTTAAAATTTCTCATTTTAGAACAACCAAAACTAGAAAGCAAGACAATCTTTTTGGCACTATTAGAACATATATCTCATATTAAATGTTTAAACCAAAGATGATTAATATATAAAGTTGAGAATAGATCATTAACCGGAAAGCTTAAGCTTTTTGGATAGACTCTAATTTTAACTATCTAACTCAATATAATATGACAGTTTTAGAAAAACCTAATAGCTCGACAAAGATCATAGAGCCTAAACCACTTAATAGATTCCAAAAGACGAACTCTAACTTGGGGGAGGGGGTGTTAGAGCATGCATCTCATATTGAATTGTTAAACCAAAGATAATTAATATATAAAGTTGCTACTTGACAAACTTCAAAAGATGAACTACAAATGAGGGAGAGTGTTAAATCATGTACCCCACATTGAATAATTAAAATAAAAATAACTAATATATAAAGTTCGAACGGGTCACCCACGATGAGATTTAAGACTTTTGGATGAAATATAATTTCAACTATCTAACTTTATAGGCATAAAGAGAATATTTTATTTTCTCACTTAACAAAACAAAATTGTATCGCTAAAGTATTTATTTTGGTTTTCTCAATTTGTCACTCTCTTTGTTTACTTTTCAAGAAATAATCTTAGTTTCTATTTTTATTTGTTCTAAAAGGTTTTTGTTTTAGTACTCAAAATAATACTTTCTCTATTTGAATTAGAGAGATTTTTCTCAATTTTATTTATATTTGTCTCAAAATACTTGTGTAGTTAGTCTAAATTTTAAATACTCGTACTTTCTTAAAAATAAACCCCTAATGATCAATTCTTTCTAATCAATTCTCTCTTCTATTTCTTGTTTTTTATTAACTAGAAAATCAATATTCTTAGCACTTTCTTTTTATACATATAATTTTTTTTTGGTTCCTTAATTTTGGAACTAATTTTTTTAATTAAAATTTTAGGAGAATTTAGGATTCCTTAATGATCTCTAGATTGTTCAGAAAAAAAAAAAAATCAACTTAAATTTGAGAGGGATGAAAATCTTGATTTGATGCTTTGATTTTGGGACTTATTTTTTGGCTTAACATTTCATAAGAAATTTAGGAAGGCTTAATGATATCTAATTTTTTCTAAAAATTTTCCAACTTAAATTTGAGAGAGATGAAAATATTGATTTGGAGCCTTGACTTTGTGAGTAATTATTTGGCTTAAAATTTCGCGAGAAATTTAGGAAGGCTTCACTAGATCTTTCTAGAAAATTTCTAATTTAATTTTGGGAGGGATAGAAAATTTTGATTTGGTGCCATGATTTTGAGACTAATTTTTTGGTTTAAAATTTTATGAAAAAATTATGATTTCTTAATGATCTTTAAATATTTTTAAAATTTTCCAACTTAAATTTTGAAGGGACCAAAATATTAATTTGGTGGGCTTAATGAACTTTATAACTTTTAAAAAAATTTTGAAATTCAAATTTGGCATTAAGGTGTATTTTTTAAAAGTGCAAGTAAGAAAAACTGATGTATCATAACAATTAATGTCTTTCTTAACACTGGATGAAAAGTGAAAAAAAGGAAGAAGAAACATTTTGGAAAATAGAGAGTATTATGTATGTATTTTCCTTTAATACCTTTCATGTAAGTCTATATTGTAACATATTTACAACTACAATGAGGGTATTTTAAAAAATTATGAACAAAAAAAATGATATAACATAATAATTAATAATTTTTTTAATGTGTAAAAAATCAAACATGACAATATGTTTACAACAAAGGAAATATTATCTTTTGGATTTGTATATAAGGAAATGAAATCATAACCAATCCAAAACATTGAAATTGTGATTATTTTCTGTTGTTAACCCTTCGAGCTATTGTATATAAAGGCTGACCTCTTATTAGAGGAAGTATATTTCAAGGAATAATAGGAATATTATTGTAGTGAGAATTTCAAGAATGGAGCCAAAAGGTATTAGGTCGAAGGTTAGCATTTTGATGCTGGTGGTAGTAATGTTGATAGCCACATCAGGTGAAGTCAAGGCAGATTTCAAGTCATGCAATGACAGATGTCTGGACAGATGCACATACCCTAAGAAGGAAGAATGCTTCGCCCACTGCAGGGTGATTTGCGGTATCATCCCCCCAGGTCCTCCCAATAAGTGGTTAGGAAAGGAGAATTGAGTCATGCACTTGCTGTTTATCATTTGCTCTTTAGAATAAAATAACACTAAAAGCCATCATGTTGTGGTTGGTGTTCAAATTTTAGTTGATTTTTTTTTTTTTTTTTCAGAACGATCTAGAGATCATTAAGGAATCCTAAATTCTCATAAAATTTTAAGTCAAAAAATTAGTTCCAAAATTAAGGCACCAAAAAAAAGTTATATGTATAAAAAAAAGTGCAAAGAATATTGATTTTCTAGTTAATAAAAAAACAAGAAATAGAAAAGAGAATTGATTAGAAAGAATTGATCATTAGGGATATATTTTTAAGAAAGTACAGTATTTAAAATTTTGACTAGCTACACAAGTGTTTTGAGAAAATATAAATAAAATTGAGAACAATATCTCTAATTAAAATAGAGAAAGTATTATTTTGAGTATTAAAACAAACCTTTTAGAACAAATAAAAAATGCAAAGTAAATTAATTTCTTGAAAAGTAAACAAAGAGAGTGACAAATTGAGAAAACAAAAAATAAATACTTCAGCTATACATTTTTGTTTTAAAATGTTAAAACTAAAAATGCAAGTGGAAATATGGATGTAGATTTTATAGCTGCTTTAGCTATGCATTTTTGTTTGCCATTAGTATTTAAGTTGCAGTTTTCACATGAAGAATTGAAGAGGTGCTATAGTGTGATATTATCATCCACAATTTTTGGGCTCGTTATTTAAAAAAAAAAAAAAATCTAAAAGATTTGGGACAAATTTAAAGAAACCTAAGAGATTTGGGGTAAATGAATAGTAAATCACTATTCATTGATTGTTTATGGTGACAGTTTTGGTAATTTTTAACATTGTATTTTTGTGATATTTTATATGTTGTGGACAGTTATTTCCAAAATTTGTACTTTATTCCATTTTGATACATCATTTTTACAAAATGATATTTTTGGTCTATGTTTTTAAAGATATTTTGACACCTCATAATTTTACCTTATTTCATTTTGGTCCCTTAGTATTTCAACATATATTTTTAGCCCCTCGTATTTTTAGATTTCAGAATATATATATCGGATTAATTTTATTTTTTAATAAATATGATTTCTTTTTCTCTATATATGAATTTTTTTAATATTTTTTAATAAACAATTAATTAAGTAAAATAATTCGTGTGTGTTTGTTTGTTTGTTTTTTTTTTTTTTTTTTTTTTTTTTTTGCTTACTCTTGATAATAAAAAAATTTGGAATAAGTTTTTTAGTTTTTTTTTTCACTCTATTAACTTTAACATATTTCTTATAACTTAAGTTTTTCTAAAAAATATTTTTTAATTTATATTTCACAATCTAGCCTATCGTGTATGTTCATGATGTATAAAAAAAATTACCGAGATCATTAGTTTTATCAAAAATTAACTATGTATCTACGCATATAACACCTATCATTTGCTATTAATTATTTTAATAGTCTAAAGTTAATTTATTTCAAATAAAATAATTAAAATAATGTTTTAGAAGAATCACCTAATAATTCAAATACACCTTTTTTATAAAAATATTATTAGTTTTTTTGTAAATAAATATAAATAAATCAAATGAGCATACTTTCAAAAAAATTAAAAAAGATTCGTTAATTAATTTTTATATAAGTTTTTACATTGATTGTTGCTTTATTTCTTCAATGCAATCTTAAAAAAAAATGTTAAGATGTTTTTTAAAATTTTATATTTACGTTATTATAGGCTTTTATTTAAGAATGAATGTATTTAACAAAAAATGAATTGCCTTTTTTTTTCAATAACAAAATCTATGAAAACATAAAAGAGAATGAATATAATATAAATTTTGATTAAAGATTAATATAAAATTTTATCATTTTTTTAATTTAATATATTTTAGTTGACCAATATTATAGTGCAGGCTATTAAACTAAAATGAACATATTTTGTTTGTTAAGTTGCTTAGCGCAAAAAACCAACTAATAAAGAAACTAAAGCAGCATAAGAGTTTCTTCTAACTAATCTCCTATTATGGCCTTCGGTGCCTTTAAAACGGCGTCATTTTTTAAATTAAATGACACTTTTTTTTAAACCGCATCATTTTTTAATTTAAATGACACCTTTCTCAAAAAAAAATTAAGTGGGTTTTATAAACTATTTGCTTTTTAATCCTTAGAGTTCTGAGTTTATACAAAGTTCCTAAAAGTATAGACGAGAGAGAAGGGATTCATTGTTCTGGATTTTAAGGATAGGTTAATATGATTCCATCTTGGCTCAAATTGTTTTTAAAATTCTCTTTCCAATTTCTCGTTCTTTTTTATATCTATCTCTCCTAAAAAGTGAACCCAAAAAATAATTATTATACATGTACAGTAATTACTCATATAATATTATAAAATTTCTCTAGATTAGAGGGTGTTTTAAGGTTTAAAATGGATTTCTATGAGCTTATAGGGTATTTTTAGATCAAAATCAGCCGACCCTCAACTTTTTTACCATAACTCTCGGATTCCGGTGAGCAACTTTCGGATCTCCCGAGAAGTGAACCCAAGAAGTATACAATAATTACTCCTATAGTATTATAAAATTTCTCTAGATTAAAAGGTGTTTTAAGGTTTAAAATGGATTTCTACAAGCTTGTAGGGTATTTTTAGATCAAAATCAGCCGACCCTCGACCTTTTTACCATAATTTTCAGATTCCGATGAGCAATTTTCAAATCTCCCGAGAAGTGAACTTAAGAAGTAATTATTGTACATATACGAGTAATTACTCGTATAGTATTATAAAATTTCTCTAGATTAAAATGTGTTTTAAGGTTTAAAATGGATTTCTACAAGCTTATAGGGTATTTTTAGATCAAAATCAGTCGAACCTCGACCTTTTTACCATAATTTTCAGATTCCGATGAGCAATTTTTCAGATCTCCCGAGAAGTGAACCCAAAAAGTAATTATTGTACATATACAATAATTACTCCTATATTATTATAAAATTTCTCTAGATTAAAAGGTGTTTTAAGGTTTAAAATGGATTCTATAAGCTTATAGGGTATTTTTAGATCAAAATCAGCCGACACTCGACCTTTTTACCATAATTTTTAGATTCCGGTGAGCAATTTTCAGATCTTGATCACCAAAAACAGCAGACCCTCGAGTTAAACAGCACATCGTCTGTTATTTCAACACATCGTTGCCCTGTTTTTTTTTTTTTTTTTCCATTTTCTTATTTTATTTCCTGTTACATGCAGGCCTGCAGCACCTGACCAGGCATGCTTGCTAGGCCTGCCTCACTCTTCTTAGTTTAAAAATATAAATACTGAATAATTAGTTTTTGAAACAAAGAGAACTAATTAATTTGTTTCTCAAAATTAGAAATACTAACTTATACTTTACTCGAACTCAATTTGGACGGTGAAAGGCCATCTGCATAAATCTTTCCTTCGCTGTTTCATGGCCAAGTTTTATAACTTCCAAGAGTAAGCTGATCTCTCTGGCCTAGTTAAAAGCAACACGAATGCATATAGATGATCAAAATAGACTTGCATTGATTAGGTAGGAATTCCCTTAAAAAAATTATTCCAAAATGGCATGGGGTTTTTGAAAGAATAAGAACATGCTACCCATTCATTCCCCTGCTAAAAAAATTGGCCCAGGAGCAAAAAAAAATGCATCCGTTCTGAACCTGCACTGGCCTAATTCTGTTAGATACCCTCTCCTTCCTAAATATAATAGCATATTTCGAAATACTTGCCTAAAGCTGTCCTGATTAACCTAAAATAATTGTCAGGGTTTGGTTTAGAAACACTCCGTATTATCTGATCCATCATTGCAGTTCCACTCCCATATAACTTCGCAATGCTGAGATGACTTCTCTTTTGCTGCAAGATCATCTTGATCAAGTAGGTTTTCCTGTTTGAAGACGGCAATCTGAGAAGCAAAACCTGGTTCCAGGTCACCAGAACCACCAACCCCACTGAACTCAACACTGTAATTGTGCCTCTCGGCTAGTTCAGATGCCCAATGGTTGAACTGCTCTCTTGTCCACTCAAATTTGTGGTCATGGTTGCGAAATTTACATGACTTCGACTGGCTTTTCTCATCTGGATCTTCTTCAGTTGGGAGACAAGATCGTTGTAGAATCACGTTGTATTCGTAGTTTGGGGTGGAAACTATAAGAACCTTTGGTCGAAAATAACTCAATGCAATATCACCAAAAAGACAGGCTTGTTCCTCCTCCATATGCTCAATTACCTATAAGCTCCGAAAACATCAGGTGCAAAGAAGAAAATCAGAGGAGATGGAAACCAGTTCATTGATTTATAGAAACGGCACCTGTAATGACGCTAAAAGTTTGTTGCAGTACAATTACATATGCAAAAAGTAACAGTACCACAACTTGGAGATCCTATTAGCATTGCAAGTATAAGAACAACGGCACAACTGGAGGCAACATAGGGCTAATCAATTTTCAAAATACCAATATAAGCTAATTTTATAAGGCATATCTATGCTCTCCCCACACTCACAGGGAAGTTGTAGACTGAAATAATAATAATAATAATATAGCTAAAACATGTCAATGACCATAAAAAATCTGGGAATCCAAAATGTGACATGGTCAAAAGCACACAAGAATCCCCTTTCTAAATGTATTATCATGCAAAACATCAAAGGCCAAGTAAAACATATTTGCTGATTGATACTGTCACCATTGTATCATATCCAGCCACCGAAACAAAAAAGAAATCCATATTAGCATGCTAACCCAAGAGCTCCAACCTAGCAGAAAATGCACAACAGGAGGAAGGTAAATACCTCTAAGCAAGCGCCAATATCAAATCCGCACAATCGAGGATCAAACTCTGTGATGGAACCATAGTAAAGAATAGCAGATTTGATGCCTGTATCAGATTTTGCACTCAGCTTGGTATGCAGTATCTGCAGAATTAAGAATACCCAAGACACGTGACTAAGTCAAGCATGTAGCTAACAAGCAAAGAAGGCCATAGAGCATAGCAGAGAAAC